GTAAACTGTAAAATGTGATGACTTAGGCAGTCTCAAACATGGAGTACATGGTAATAAAAAAAAGGGGCAGGTTGCTGCTGTATACGAAGAGCATGAACAAAGGACCTTGCTAATTGTTGGCAGATTTCTGCCGGAAGGTTATGCTACTTAGAATTGAGATAAATTAGAACATGCGTGAAGGAAAAAAGATAGATTATCAGGTGATTACTTAAGCTTTCATGTTCGTTTGCGTAGGCGGTGCGTATTCTGGCCAAATGCGAAACGATCGGCGTAGACGATCATGTTTGCTGATGTTTATGATATTCGAGCTTATTGATTGTCATTAACAATGTTACACTCACAAATGTTTGAGGATGCCTAAGGAAATAATAGTTATGCGATACTTCAAGGAATTTCAAATTTTAGGTGAATATTCCCGAGGACGTGAATTAAGTAGGATGGCCGATTGTTAAACAAACTTAAATCGACCCAGATGATGTCATCGGGCGTTCGGCTGAAAGCACCAGTAACCTATTATCGATATGCTGATTAAGGACATTTTTATATAAACATTAGTCTGGATTTTGTGTGGGATCGTTTTTTTAGATTATTATTAATTCTCTCTCGTTCGAAGTGACCACTTGTATTAAAAATTTGTTAAATAAATATTAAAATTATTAAAATATAAAATTGTGTTTACACTGTTTACAACATAATAGTATAAAAATAGTATATAGTTCGTTTAACTTAGAATGATGTTTGTAAATAACATAAAGGTAGACCTACGTGTTGATGTCTTTATGCATCCCATGATGCACTAGGGAGACTTACCAATACCGCACGTATGTCTGAGCCATATCGGTAGAGATGAGGTTTTTACGTTCCAAATGAACTATATATCGATAGGCCTGTTTGGCTTTGATAAAATAAACATAAAAAGAGCGTGTTAAAAATTAGGGAAGCCAGTTTTTTTTAGACAGTTGGGTTTTGCTATTTGAAGAGAGAGTTACGTTTTACTATTTGAAGGGAAGAGTTGAATTCTTTAATTTTGTAAGGGAGTGAATTTAACCAATAATACATTGTTTTTTATATAAATTCAGTTTTTGTGAAAGTGTTGTTCATTTAAATAGGTATGTCTTTTCTATATTTAGTTATTATAATCTAAGGTCACAAATATCATAATGAGTGTAATTATTAATTATTTAATTTAAACTATATTTTATTATTATTATTTCAACTTGTTTTTTGTGAGAGAAAAAATAAGCTGAATTGTTTTTATCTTAATGGTTGTTGTGGACAAACCAAATTACAAATATATTATAATCATTATTTTATGTTTATAAATATTATATTTATATTACATTTACTTTAACATATTATATTGTAATGTAATTTTACATTTTACTACATATTTATATTTAACATTTATATACGTTATTTTGTACAGTTTTCTTATTTTATTTATTTGATAAATTGATATTCATTATTTAATATGTTGAGGCTTTGTTGCAATTTCGCCACACCAAACACTTGTTAGAATTTTCTTTTATTGTTTAACGGTGTTGGTAACGGTCGAAGGGGTCGAGCCTGGAGACTTATAATTATCAATTCACCCATCTTTACAATGAATGCTAGGTAGGGCCCATGATGTGAGTTTTTGTGACATTGTCTTATTTTATTATTATTGATAATAATTTTATTTTACTATATTTGATTTGCACTGACATAATTCTATTACTTTATCATACCTGATTTTATTTATCATTTATGACTGTACATCAATTTTATTGCATAACTCTTGTCCACCACTATACCACTTGTGATTTATATATTTTATTTACCACAACCATTTATTGTTATTGTTTGTGACCTAAGTTATATTATACTTTATGTTTCACATTATTGTTGTTTGTTGCTGTACATTGATAATTATTTCAATGTGTATTTGCTTTTCTACACCGTCCGAGCCTACCATTTATGTAGGTGAATAATCTTAGCAATATGATAATATAATTGATTATATTCATATTGATTACCTACTTTGATTTTGTTGTATTATTTATATTGTTAAGATGTGCGACACATATGCATGTCTGTATTGTATATGTGGGTTTTTAAGGTTTTACCTTATTAACTTAAATCAATCATACTTTTCAAATACAAATGTTTTTATTTATATTATTAATGTACAGTAACAATAATTAACTCTTGTATTAATTGCCTTTATTAATAAACTTATTTTAATTTAATACTTTTTCTTTGCTTTTTAAATATCTTTTCAATTGCTTAAGTACTTACGTATCCAGAACCGTATTCACAACAAAGAGGGGTCCTAAATTAATTTCTTTAATCTAGACGATCACGTGTTTTGGCCAAAGGAAGTTTTTTTGTGGTTTTAATATTCTTTTTAATTATTAATGTGTCCCGTTCGTTACAGTATATGTTTAAGAAATCGAAAGTTTTAAGTGGATAATTAAAATAGGGCACAATATTCTTAATAAAAATCAAATTAAAAAAAAATAACGGTGGGATTTTTTTAGTTTCTCTTAAATTCTTACTTACATCATAAATAAATAGAATTTCAAAAAAAAAAAGTTTCTCAGAAAGTCTGAAAATCACTTCTCAGAATAGCACCGTGTTTTGACTTTTTTTATATAAAATAGTAGATTATGTCATAAGGAGTAGAAGTGACTCTTTTTGTGGCGAGTACAGAGATTGACGGCCGAAGCGTAGCTGAGGCAGGCAACTGTACGAAGCACAAAAAAACTTCTACTCCAAATAACATTTACAATTTTTTTTTCAAGGGCGTTATATAAATAGGATAAGCCACAATCCACACATTGTGGGATAAGCAATAGAATTATTTTATTTACTCATAACTCATGTGGGATAAAATTTGAAATTATTGATAAAAACTAAAAAAACTTGTGGGCAATAATCTACATTCATAAAAAAATTACATTTGTGTTATCATTTGTTGATAATTGTTTTTTGTTTTGCATACTCAGCGATTTTTAGGTACTTTGAATAAAACAATCTCGACATCTCGAGGTTTCCATGGTTTTCCCGTCGATTTTAAATTTCACCTTTCACTTTTTACGTCGATTGATGCTCATGTAGCTATTTTTTTAAGTGTTCCACAAAATCATAATAAATGTACTATAACTATACCGCCGCTATTATCCACACAAAGTAGAAAATTATGATGTGTCGCTTTTGCTATCATATCCGAATGATTTCGGATTTCATCTGCCGCTGCAGTGACAAGTTCGCGGAGTTGCTCTAATGAGTCAACTTCGCTTTGGTACACTAGCCCCAGAGAAACCACAAAGTTTGTTTGATCTTACAAAATACACTGTGCGCATACATGTTTCTTTTATGCTTGGATAAATAATATAATTGTTTTTCGAGGTAAAAACAATGATGATATAGGATAGGTCAGTGACATCCAGTGGCTCTCTGGTTTTGTCAAAAAAAAATCATATTTTTTTATTAAAAAACAGTATCTTTAATGCAAAAAATGATAGAGGGAAAACTTTCTTGTTTTTGAATGTACTATCATCACCCCAAAAGAAGGCAATTTATTAGGTGACCCTGTATATATAAAAAAGACATTGATATATTTTTAAATATATCGGTAAGTATAAAAACTTCAAATTTTAATTAACAAAAATGGTTTAGTAATATCGCCAATTAAAAATTTTAATAAAAATAAATCTTTTTTTATTGATATTAACATTAAAATATGTAATAATAAATGATAATAATTATTATGTTTTTTTATTTTGGTGTATTTGTAATAAATTATATAATTTTGGTTGTTTAAATAAGTGTACTAAATTTTTTTTATTGAAACCTAAAATTTTCAACCTATATTTTATCCTTCATAAAGCTTTAACATTACAAACAAAGCCTTAAATAAAAAAGTTATGACACAAAAAGTTGCCTAAAACAGTCAATTTTACCACTACCCCGAAAAACTCTATAAGATCGATCTAAATATTTAAATATGAATATCTAAATTTTGATATATCGTTCGATAAGATATATCGAAAAAATAATTTCAATCTGTCATTCCTACCCATAACATACCACACTTTTTTGTTTTCACTGTTCTTAATGAGTTTAATTTACTGAAATTTTACAGAAATAGAATTAAATTGTAAAAAAAAGCCTTTAGAATGAATAAAAATTCTACACATTAAAGGGGCGAAGCATAATTTTTTACCTGTTACAAGTTTTTTTATATTTATTAATATCAAAAACGGTTACTTGCAGGAGCATTTAGAAAGTACCCCTTCTTACGCAATAAAAAATGAAAAAATAAATAAATAAATATTTTTATTTAAAAAGATGTGACCATTAAAAAGTACCGTAAACTTTGCCCCCCCCACTGGGTAACATTGTCAGTATTTGTTTATACTGTGTAGATTTGCATTAAAATTTTAATATTGTCATGTTTCATTTTTTTGTTTTATTCAACATAGTGAATATAAAAATGATTAGTACAAATAAGCTGATAGTTTTAGTTTTTTTATACTAGGCTCAAAAAATTATGAAAAAAGCATTTTTTACTGTCAAAAACTTTCTTTGAGTCGACGTTTTTTATAGTTGTTTTTGTCGAATTTATGACTTTGTTAAATTTTTACTCGCAACATTTAAAAAAATGATATATTAATGGCCAAAGTTGGCCAGTCTCTACCACCTACATTAATTCTTATAACAAATTTAATTTTGCCGTCCTGAAATTATCAAATTTTGTGCAAAAACGTTTGTTATTAAATAAAATTAAAAACAAATTTTTAATATTGACACCCTGTGTCTTATTATCAACTTTTGTATAAGGCAAATTTGAATAAGGGGCCATTTCAGGCATGCATGATCACAAAACTGTTTGCTATGGCTCTGTGTCCCATTACTTTTGCTGCAAGTCTTTTGCACCACTCTATATACTAGGTTTGACATTTAGCCCAAACAGTTAAGACACTAGTTGTAAATATTTTATTATGGTTTTCACTTACCTGATAATACCTTAAATGAGGATACTTTATAATAACCCTCAATATTAAAACTGTTAATTGATCCTGTAGAGCCACTCTCTGTTCATACGGAATCCCAGGAGGAAACCTCTTTAATGATCTATTCACATCCAGAATAACTTGATCGTACTCAGGGTGAGTCGACAAATCTGCCAACGATGGGGTTTTTTCTGTCACATCTGGATCTATGTCCAATAATAAAGGCCATGCGCGTCTTCGCAACTCATCTGTCCAAAAAATTATTGTTTTAGCATGTTAACAACAAAAAATACTAAGCTAGATATAACTGTCCTACATCTCACACTTTTTGTATTTATGTTGGACAGGCATGTTAACTGTCAAAAACAGTTAAACATGAATTTTTCCTGTTTATTATTTAAGTTAGATAGAATCGCAACCTAAACTACCAAATTAAACATGAAATTTATTGCCAGAAATAAATTATTATTTAAAATTTGAATTAAATCAACAATTAAAAAAACTATAAAACTATAATTTGAATTTTACTAGGAATATACTAAGCAATTTATATATTATAGGTATTACCAGAAACAATTCCATATCTTTCATATGCCAAATCCTGCCACGTTTTCACACTACTTTCCTTCCTACTTAATGCCAATTCAATTCTTTTCTTTTTATCTATTTCCTCCGGTGTTTCATTTTCTATAAATAAAGAATGACAAAATCATATAAACAATATTAAAACATATTTACCTTGATCAAACTTTAATTCCGATCTGGTATCAAGATCCGATTCTTCTATATCTTTATAGGACGTTTCTGTGTTTTGTATTGAAGAACTTTCCTCTAAACTACTTAATTCGGAATTATGATTTTCCATTTCTGCCAATTAATCACAATAAACTTCCATAACAATATTTATAACCTCTTATCTTATCTGTCAAAGTCCTTTCAGCTGTTTTTCATGGACATTACAAGATGTAAACCACTGAAAATATTTATTCAAGCAAAATATTAAAAACTTAACTTTTAATATATATACTATTGTTTATTAGAGTTTCTATGCAGTTGAAGAATTTTTTTTAAAGTAATATGTGGGTGTTTTTTATTATAAAATTTATTTATATTTGTCTTTGCTTAGAATGTCAATGGACATTTAAAACTTAATCCAATGCAGTGTTCCCAACTCTTAAGTTACTCACATTTTAGGAAATTTTACGATTAAAAGTAAAACGTAATAATATTGTATGCTATATAAGCCATATTTTATTTAGAAATAACAGTGATTTTTCATTGGAAAATTCGGAAACTGGGCGTACGTTTCGGGTACTTTTGTTTTGGTGTTTGGCAACATTGCACTGCAATCAGTGATGCCAATATGTTATAAGAGGATTTTTATCTATAATAGACTATTTGGAGTGGTTTAATAATTTTTTTATATAGCCTGTATAATAGAAAAATCTATGGATCAATTTTTAAGGTTTTAAGTAATTTGTGAGAAAACCCTGAACATTTTGAGAGTAAATTGGTAAAATCAGTTGGCAACAGTGATCCAATAGGATTTTGTTTAGGGAACTGCTTTCAAATGTCGAAATATTGGCGTGAAATTTAAAATTGCTCGTAAAAATGATCGATCACGAATTATCGAATTTAAATGAAATTAATTACAAAGACATCGAGGACATAATCGATGCACGAAAGGAATTAGGGCAATACAATGTAAACAAGCAGCCGAATTCCATAAATTATAGATATGTTTATTCAACTTCCAGCGGTGGAAATGATCGTTTCGTTCGATTTAACGATATGATCACGGTGAACGAAGGCGACGCTCCGACAACGAGTATCAAGCACACAGATTCAGAAATTACGGTCGTAAGAATACGACAGGACAATAACTCGATGAAAAAACCCCACCTTCATGTCAGCAAATGGGATATGCATGATGTAGCTATACCAGGAGATGGTTCTCATCTGGGCGAAAGCCCTTCGATGGTGAATTTGGCAACGTTGGTCGCCCAAAACCTTCACAGCGAAACCGACGAATATTTGGTGCCTTTATCCTCTTGGGATCCTTGTTTAAAGTCTGAAGAAAAGAAAAATACAGAAGAAACAAAGTTTAAGTATTTACCTGAAGATGTGTCCTGGGAAGATCAATTAGACCTAAAGGAAGAAGGAAATATCAAAGAATCCAACTCTGAGCCCGAAATAAAAAGTTTTACTTCGGTTATGGCGAGGAGGCCCAGTTTGGCGGGAAGGATTTCGAAATTTATCAGGAAACACTGCAAGAAACCAAAAACCCTAAACGATGAGGAACTAGACAAAAACTAAGGTTATGTTTTATTTAAATGGGGCAATGTTTATTATTTACTGTATTAGTTCATCCCTGATTATAATGTAATGTATTTTTTTTGTAAATAAAATCTTTTGTAATGCATATAAATATTTATAGATAAAATACATGTTTGGTAAGTACTAAATTTTTCTAGTTTCAGTATTTTAAATTTTGTTTATTAATATTTTATAAATAGCGAATTAGTTTGACCGCGCGATATATCAATAACCTATCCACGATATTTTTATAATTATTTAATGTAAGCAGTTATGGACTAAGTCAATAACATGACATATTGTTTCGACAATTAGAAAACATATTTTTTTAAAATACCAACATGATGGATAGGGTGTGTATTGTTTTTTACTTTAATTTAATTTTTATCTCTAAAATTAAGGGGGTTGTGTGGAGTGACAGGTATTTTTGAATATTTTTTTTTATGACAAACCATTCTAATCGAGATTCTAATATTTTCAGTATATTTAAACAATCTTTTAATTTTGTACAAGCCAAAATATGTGTTAATTAAATCCACATCTTTCTTAAGACATGAGAAAAAAGTTGGTTGATGACTGCCATGATTCTGCTTACCTAAAATCAGATAATAAAACAGTTTTAAAGTAGACCTGTGGCTATGATTTAAACCAGTAGGTATATATTTATAAAGTCAAGGTCAATTCTTTCAACATTATAGGCTCAAAAAAAAAAACAAGAACTACTACACACTGGACCACCCTTTTAAGGGGGAATACCATTGTGGATCTGCAGGGCTGTCACATTCTATTTTTACTAAAATGTTTTGTATAAATTTATTTTATAAATTTATTATTGTATTAATACATACTAAAAAAAGGTATTTTGTCCCAATAGATTTTTTTACCATAACATGGTTGGTATAAATAAAACAGTATTTAAACAAAAAACAAAAATAGTTAAATTAAAATAAATAGACTTAAAAATTAATATTTTTTAAACAAAACATGTTCAACACAATATGTCATAGTTAATTTTAAGCGCGCGAAACACGAATTACAAAACTGTTTTTATATAAAAAAAATTTGCTATTTTTATTTAATATATAAGTAGCCTAATAAAAGAAGATTATATTAGACAATTTTTATGCAAAAATTTATAATAAATTACCTAGAATTTTGTTTATAAAAACAGTTTTGTGATTTGTCCCGTCCGTATACGCTTGAAATATATGCTTGAAATGGCCGTTCAGTCAATCTGTACTTTAGCTGGATTTTCTATATTGTATTTTTTATTATTTTTAGATCCACAACTTTTCTATTTTGCGTTTTTAATTAATTTTAAAGTGCCTGAATATAAAAAAATACTTTGGCGCCCTCTTTTTAGCAACTATGTACAGAAATTTTGTTGAAAATTTTTACACTTTTTTTCGACCAACAATCAGGGCCGGATTTAGAGGTGTGGAGGCGCTAGGGCAACAAGGGAGTGGAGGCCCTTAATTATTTTTCAAATTGGTTAAATAATATTTATCTTGCAAGTGTTTCAATCATTTATTTATTTAGTCATATGGCATATAAATATAGAACATGCAATCACAAATAAAATCACACAATAAGTAAAAAATCTCTCATGCAAATTGCACCTTGCTGAAATCCTGCAGCTCCCGCAGTAAATCACTTTCAATGCTAAGTAGGAATAACTTTGATAGGCGGTTTTCTCCCATCGTAGTTCTTAGCCTATTTTTTATAATTTTCATTTTTGAAAATGAGCGCTCTCCAATGCAATTTGACACCATCAAAACTAAGTACATTCGTAGTGTGATTTAGATGTTTGGGAATGTAGCTCTGAAATTTTGATTTTCAAGAATTTAAGTAATTATAATAATATATTTTTTATAGTCTGTTGTATAATTATGTAAGTTCATCAAAGATACAAATTTAACCAACTCATTACCAAGACTAGGTTTTAAATTGTCTTTGTAAACTTTTACCAATTCTTCTGCTGCAGTATAATAATAATAATAATTTATTAATGCCAATAAATACAAAATCTTTGCACAGGTCAGATGGATAGAAAATTACAATATACAAATATATAAAAATACAAGTAGACATATTAATTGTTATAAAATGATTAAGATAAAAACGTACAATAATATAAAACATCACACATTTAAATCACAAAAGTTGTTGGATAGAAACTCATCCAGAGAGTAAAATGCCTTGGAAATTAAATATTCTTTTATAACTACCTATTTTAAATCTATTGTAATCTAAACTTCAAATTTGCAGCATCCATCTCCTCTAGTAGTAGTAAATATATTTATTGGAAAAACCAAAAGGCTATCGACCGAAGTCTTTCTGCCTTCATCTCCTCTAAATGATTAAGAAATCCAAATTTTGAATACATATACATCATCGTATGCATGTAAGAGAAACACATAGCTGATCGATCACTGGGATAAAGCCTACACACTTATTGCACACTTTTCATAAACGCTTTATTTTGGCCAGGGAGCCTTTCTAACTAAATTAAAAGAATGACCACAACATGGTACAAACACTGATAAAGGATTTTTCTCCAAAGTCAGAGCTTGCATGCCTTTGTATTTGCTGCTTATATTTGCAGCATTATCATATGATTAAGGTGACCAACTTTCTAAAATGAAAAACCAGGACCGAACATTCCTCGCCCTTATTATAAACAAAATTTATTTTATTTGTATTATTTAATAAAAAGATGTGCTAATAACGCCAATAGCAAAAAAAATATCCTGAAGGTATTCCCAAATATTCAGATTTTTTAAAATTAATTTTGAACCTAAGCCCTCACCACATTTACTAAAAAAATTAGAACAAATCCTAAAAAAAGTAAAAACAAAAAAAATCAAACGAGTTTTTTTCTTACTCTTTTACTATCCTGAAGGCACTCCCGAAAATTCAGATTTGTAAATTAAATTTAACCTAAGCCCCGACCACTTAAAAAACAGAACAAATGCTAAAAAAGTTCAAGCGAGTTTTTTTCTTACTTTTTTACTGTTCTGAAGGTACTACCAAAAATTCAGATTTGTAAATTAATTTTTACCTGGGCCCCGATCACTTAAAAAAAATTAGAACAAATCCTAAAAAAGTGGGAAAAACTCATAATTTACAAAAAAAATTAAATAGGTTTTTTCTTACTTTTTTACAATCCTGAAGGTACTCCTAAAAATTCAGATTTGTAAATTAATTTTTAGCCTGAGCACCGACCACTTTAAAAAAAATAAAAACAAATTTGTCCTAATAAAGTGAAACAAACTCATAATTTTTTATAATTTTTGTTTTTAACGAGTTTTTTTCTTACTTTTTTACTCTTTTAAATGTTCTTCCAAATTTTAGATTTTTAAATTAATTTTTAACCTGAGCCCCACCACTTAAAAAAAAATTGCTAATAAAAAATAAAAAAAAAAATATAAACCAGGACCAAATCTGTGGGTTCACCACAGTTTGATAAAAAGGTCAGAATAACCCAGAATAAAAGTTTTCTATATGGTTTCAAGTGTCATGATCATGACACTTGAAACCATATAGAAAACTTTTTTTTATTGCTTTTATAAAAAAATTATTCCTGATAAATACAGCATTGCCTAAATCCTAAAATTAAATAATCCGATATCAAATTTACATATTGCAATTAGTCAGTTTTTAAAAAGTAATGATCATTTGAAAAACAAACATTTTTTTAAATTATGGTTGGGTGATAAAAATTTACAGAAACGTACGTTTTTATTGGGGTAGAATAATGCATACAAATTTCAGCCAAATCGAGGCCATTGAATACTTACGTAGTTTCATTTTATAAAGGTTTTTATTTTATTTCTCGTTTACAGATGGTCAATTTAAAAAAAATGTATAGTTATACAGTACTAAAAGAGCAGCTCTGCTGTAGATTTTTCAATAATTCTGTAAAACTATTGATTATGTGTTAATATTTTTCATAGGATTAAATTAAAAAACACATCTGTGTTTTTTCATAAAAAGGGTTAAATTGTTAAATATATGTAATTTTTTCAGATAATAGAAAAAATGACCAAAAACGAAACAATCCAGGATTTTAACCACTTCCGGGAAGATGGTTTAGAATATTTAATGGTAGTTTGGCCCTCAGTTTTCTTTTGTGCCATATCATCTTTGGTTACATCAATTTTAAAAACAAACAACTTTAAAAGAAATAGTTTCTTTTTCATACTGGATTTTGCAGTTATTATTGTGCCTGTAATTATAAACATGACGATATTGTCAGGAAATTTAAAAATACTAGTATTTATGTCTGTAATAATAGCCACACTATTAGTAATATTTATGGTTCGAAAATACCCCAACACAAAAGACGTGAAAAATGCAACCAATCCAGAGAGAAAACACTTCATCACAAACTTTAGATCAATAACAAACATGCTTGCAGTGATAGCAATTCTGGCAGTGGACTTCAAATTTTTCCCAGCTCGTTACATGAAAACCCATTCGTATGGGATATCGTTGATGGACAGTGGAGCTTCCATCTATGTGTTTTGCAATGGAATTGTCGCCCCCGAGACCAAAATGAAGTACCAACCAATACTAAAATGCATCAAAAGTGCACTTCCAGTTTTTACCATGGGAATAATGCGGTTTATTTTGACCAAGGAGGTTAAATATCACGTGAATGAAACCGAATATGGACTACACTGGAACTTTTTCATCACTTTGGGGATGGTTAAAGTTTTGGGTTTGACTTGTATTATGTTTGTACATAGATATCTAGGGAATAGATTACTTTTGGGCGTAGTTTTGTTGCTATTTGTTCACGAATTTTTTCTACAATTCGGTTTGAATAGATTTATTTTTTCCGATACTTCAAGAGACAATTTTATATCGGCTAATAGGGAAGGTATCATTTCCATGGTAGGTTACGTGTGTATTTATTTATTTGCTGTCTATGTAGGCCGATTATTGCATGGCCCACATAACAGTAAAGTAAAACAGGTTTTAATTTTGCTACCTTA